TGAAACTTAAACTTTGAAGTAGATGAATGTGAGAGAGGGAGAAATGGAGAAAATTCACTTCTTTATTCTTAGGATACAGGTTGTGTGCTTGGAGTAGGTGGAACTAAGAATGAGTGTTTGTCCATCAAGTCAGCCCTTTCTTCTGTCTTCTTTTTACATTTTCATTAAATAGTTAAAACATTTTGTTAGGTGGGTATTATGGCTTATGTAACATGTTGCCAAATATTTCATAAATAATGTAAAAATATGGCTCATATGTTTTTCTTTTTTCTTTCCTTAAATTAAACTTACGGGTATTGAGTCTTCACATCTTATCTGAAATTTTAATCAGAGGACTTCTAAATAACCTGGCTCTTAATCACATTGAATATGAAAACCACATATGCCCTAGTAGCATACTTTGAGCATTTTTGTTCAAATAAGCGTGTTATTACTTTATATAATTTGCTGAAATTGTGCCATTGCTTTTCAGGTTAACCTTAGCAGAATACCATGAACAAGAAGAAATCTTCAAACTAAGATTAGGTCATCTTAAGAAAGTAAGTATAATGGAAAAATGTTTTTCAAGAGGTGTAATTTCCACTTTACATTTGATGTAGAAATGATTTGGCTGTTTGGACAAATAGAATTGTAGCTTTGTATGATGCAAGAATTCTGCATTGCTACTCTTATTTTCATGGCTTGTAGTCTAGTAGGATTTTTATTTTCAAGTCAATGCAAGCTACTAAGTAAGAGTATGCTTTACCCCAGTGACTTATCTGCTAAAAATGTGTCAATTAATAGAGCTACCCAAGTGACTGTCCTTAAAGCAGAAATTAAATATACAGGATTAATATGTCTGAAATTGATAGAAGTACTCCTGTGTTAGTCTGAGTAACATCAGCAGCTCTTCTTGCCTAAAATAATTAAAGAGAATATATTCCACCATCCATATTCTAACACCTAAAAGAATTTTTTGGCGATAGTCACTGAGATAGCTTTTCATTGAGGGTCAGAGACATGGTGTCTTTTTTTTTTTTTTTTTTTTTTTTTGGGTATTTTTTTTTTTTTTTTTTTTTTTTTTTTTTTTTTTTTTTTGTGAGACAGTCTTGTTACATAGCCTAGGCTGGCCTTGAACTCAGGATCATCCTGTCTCAGCTTCCTAAATACTGGGATTACAGGAATGGGGCAGTGTGTACCATGCTTATCATTTTCATGTGTGTGATATGAGGTGTTTTTTGTTGGTGGTGGGTTAGGGTGCGTGTGTTCATATGAACCCAAGATTTTAAGGATGCTTGACAAGTGCTTTACCATAGACTTAACATCTCTAGCTCCAAAATATCATAAATGTAGAATGTAGAAGTTTTTTTTAAAGCTCTTTTATTGCCCAACCCAGGTGCTGATGAAATGGCTTAGCTATTAAGAGAGCTTGTTGCTCTTTTAGGGGACCTGAGTTTGGTTCCCAGCATGTCTGGCTGCTCATCCCTGCCTGTAACTTCAGTTCTAGAGATCTGACATCCCTGGCTGTCACCTGTACACATGGCATGCATATAGAGAGATCCATACACCTAAGTGAAAAAAACTTAAAACTTTCAGTAGCCACATTATTAGTGGATGTTATTTATGATGATGGTGGTCAATAAGCATCTAATAAATTGTTACTGGTGGTGACTTTTTAATGTCATATTAGTTTTCATGTGTAACACACATGAACATACACATACATATGAACTCTTAGATATTAAATTAGTGGAATTTAAAGTATTGAGCATAATCTGTACCAAAAGTAGAGAATCAGACTATACATACCAGACTTTTATAAGGTTTTTGCAAAGTCTGTATATATATGCATAAAACATTCCTGGAAACTTCCCAGAGGTTACATCTGAGGAGTGGGTGATGGAGTAGCAAATTGACTAATCTTTTCAATAGCGTGTCTTCTGTTTGTTTTTTACAAGTGAAACAGATGTCATTTTTAAATGAAAAGGTAAAGTTCGCTGGATTCTGAGCTTTTTTTTTCCCCCCCTTTTCAGGAAGAAGCAGAAATCCAGGCAGAGCTGGAAAGGCTAGAAAGGGTTAGAAATCTACATATCAGGGAATTAAAAAGGATACATAATGAAGATAATTCACAGTAAGCAACTTGGGTTATAATGGGCTGGAGGTTGCTGAGTATTTTATGACTTGTATGGTCCAGAGCAACGTTTTCACTTCTAAGTTTGCCAAATGAATCTAAGTCTATTTAGTTCCTTTTGAACAAAATTATGATGTTTGTATTAAAAAGTAAGCTTGTATATGTATCTGTACAGCATTTTACATGAGTAAAGTTTACACAAGAGAGCTTGGCAGCTATCAGGGTGGATGGGGTATGGCATGTAGACATAGCCATGGAGCCTTGAGGAATGGGAAGCATTGGCCACAGTGTTGCTGTAAGAAGAGTGAGATGACTTCCATTTTCTGAGTAAACTAGTACGACTCTTAAATTTAGCACAGTAATTATAGACCCACACTCCCCTTTGCTCAAAAGCCATTTATATCACTAAAATTCAGGAAAAGTAGCTTACATGTGGGAAATGGCTCTCATCACTGATTAGTTCTTTCCTTGTGTTGCTGAAGCTGTAACTTTTTTTTCATGTAGCTACGGCTTGAATATTTTTGTTTGACCATGTGAACCATGACCATTATTCTGTCAAGTGGAAGATACCAGCACTTACCATTGCTTGTGAACTTTATGTATCAGGAAAGAGTCGTCTAAGTGCCCTTTTGATCTCACACTTAATCCTCTTAACAAGTCCATAATCTTGCACATATCAATCAGGAAACGAGTTAGAGAAATGAAATTAATTTGACTAGAAGCCCAAATGAAGAGTCAAATTTAGAGCTACTTAATTTAAACTTTCATGTAATAATATTACACAGGCACACTGTTTTCTTAAATACAAAATAAAGGAATTTTAGGATTAATAGGAAGATTATTTTAATTTTTTTTTTTTAAGTACTGGAGTTGGAGTGTAAGGCCTCATGCAAACTAGGCATGCAGTCCACTACCAAACTGTGTCCCTAGCTGTCTTTGTACTTCTGGTTTTGAGATAGGGTCTCACTATATAGCCCTGGCTGGCCTTGAGCTTTTCTTTCACTTTCCCTCTGCCTCCAGAGCACTGAGATTATAGGAAGAATCTCTTTTGGGAATACACTGTATCCTAGTTTTAGATTTACCATAGACTTATCTAAACAGGGAAAAATGAGTTGGGTTGGTTCGTACAAATCTATATGTATTCCAAGCACTTGGGAGGCTAAAGCCAGAGTATAACGAGACCTGTCTCAAAACCAATAAAGGCGGGCCATTATGGTGTATACCTGTTACCCCAGTGCTCAGCAGGCTGAGGCAGGAGGATTGGGATTTCCAGGCCAAAGTATGCCCAGTCTCCAAAAACTCAATTAGCTGGGTATGGTGATACACAACTTTAATCCCAGCATTTGGGAGCTAGAGGCAAGTAGATCTCTGTGAGTTCAAAGCCAGCTTGGTCTACATAGTGAGTTCCAGGCCAACCAGGACTACATAGTAAGAACCTGTCTCAAAATGGGAGGGCGGGAGGATTCACATAAAACACATGAAATGCTTTATTTTTAAGGCAATATAAAAATACCTTGGAACTTGATATAGTTTTAAAACGGTGAGAAAAAGGAATGGGATCAAAAACAGCCCCAAGTTGAGATGTGGTTACTAAGACTAGAACCAGTATCAGGCTTTAATACCTTTTACTGTTTACTATAATTACGCTGTGTAACTTTGTCCTTATAGTTTATTGTATTGATGTCAGTTGTCAAACTCTCAGCAGTGGCTTTATGTGGAAGACTATAGTCTTTGACTTCAGGATGTTACATATTCCATTTCCACAGATTTAAGGATCATCCAACGCTAAATGACAGATATTTGTTGTTACATCTTTTGGGTAGAGGAGGTTTCAGTGAAGTTTACAAGGTAAGTAGAAACAACTGAGTACAAAGAGACGGTAATATTGATTTGTAGAAATTTTTAATATTAAGAACTATGTATGTATATTTGTAGGTTTAAATTCAAAAGCTTTATGACTAAGACCTTTAGGAAAATGGCTTCCAGTAAATTTTGTATTTTGTTTTTAAGACATTTTCACACTTTAGCCCAGACTGGCTCTAAATTCATGGTGTGATTCAGGGTGGCTCCAACTCTTGGCAATTCTCCTGCCTCAGCCTTCCAAGTACAGTACCACGTCATTTTGAAGTGTATACATCAGTGGCAATAAGGACATTCACAGATGTGTACCTGTCAGCACTGTGGACCATGGCTGTGCCTTTAGGGCAGGACTGCTTAGATTTTCAGTACGCTCTTCATACTTAGTTATACTTTTAAAGTCTGTGCTGGTAAATCTTACTGACAGACACATGGCCACCTTCTGTTTGCAAGTACCATGCTTGAGCTTTGATGACATAGTTATCCTAGCTCCTTAGAAAGAGTTGAGATTAGGGAGGGCATTGCTAGCTTGTTGAAGGTTTTATGTACTTGACTTAGCAAATCACCTGTGTAGTAGCCACTTTGGAAGAAAACTTTTGTCCTTTTTTCTTTCTTTTATTATTATTATTATTCTTTTAAAACAATCTTCTCATTTTACATACCAATCCCAGTTCCTACTCCCTCCCTTCCTCCTGCTCCCCCTCCTTCCTCCCACCCTACCCGACTCCCATCCACTCTTCAGAGAGGGTGAGGCTTCCCTTGGGGAGTCAAGAAAGTCAGGTACCCACTTTAAGGCAGACCAAGACCCTCTCCTCTATATCTAGGCTGAGCAAAGCCTCTCTTTTTAAATCAAACATTTAAAAATGAGTTAGCAGCAGGGTAATGGTGGTACACGCCTTTAACCCCAGCACTTGGGAGGCAGAGGCAGGCAGATCTCTGTGAGTTTGATGCCAGTCTGGTCTACAGAACAAATTCCAGGAGCCAGGGCACCAGAGCTACACAGAGAAGCCCTGTCTTGAAAAACTAAGAACAAGCAAAACAGTAATTAACTTCTACAAAATAGATGACCGTGCCTTGACCAGCACCTGTTACTAGACCTGAGGCTTTTCCATCCTTGTCAAGGGGCCATGCTAACCTCTACTTTCATAAACATTGTTCCTTGCACAGATAAGTACTTTTCACAATTTTCTACCCTTTTTGTTGGCTTTGATAAGCATTAGTGCTCTCACAGACTATGTGTAATATAACCTAGTTTTTAATATCTTGAAGTGGTTTTTAGAGTAAAGCCACAATGGTATATTCTTTAGAGCATGAGAGAAGTATATTTATTTCATTTCTATGAAGCATGTTTTTTCTACTATATACTCATTTTGCGTTAGCCTGGGTGACAGGTCCCTTATTTCTAATAACAGCCCCCCTGGTTTGGACATTGCTTTCCTAGAGAAACATTGGGGACACCTATGGAACAGTGATAGTCTCTGTTCCTGGTGGGCGTACTGTGCAGCTGTGTGTTCATTTGTAAGAACTGATAGATAAGCATTGCTTGTCCAGTGCCAGGCCCGCCAGCACTGCTGCTCTTCAGGAAAGCCTGTCCCTGTGCACTGCTGTTGGGATTCAGACTTTGATTTTACTCAGTACATTAATGTGGCCCTAAATAGTAAGGTTGGGATTTTTTATTTTGCTTTGTTTTTGTTTCTGTTATTTTAGTAAACACAACATACCGAGTTGTAGGATACTTTGTGATGATCATACCAATGATCATATCCATCTGGGTTGTTTTCTATAGGAAGCCATTAGTGTACGTTTCAGGATTTCAAAAGTAGGGAGACAGTGTTGACACATGTGAGCTCCCTAGGCTCACTGAGGGTGAGAGACAACCTCAGGAGAAAGGTCCTAGATGAGGAGGAATGGTGTCCAAAGTGAACATTGTTGGAGGAAGTGTCAGGGCGTGGGTTGGCTTCTGCTTGTGGTGTATTCTTAAATTTGTCTTATAAATCCCATGGTGCCATTGTGTCTAGAGACTTGTGAATTATCTAATCCCAAGTTTCAAGAGGATGGTTGCAACACTGGAGCAAACATGACGTGCTGTCATTTGCTGCTGCTTTCATTTCATAATGTATTTTGTAGTTTGTGTTGATCTGTTAAATAAAAACTTCAAGTCAGTTCCCTGTAATTCTTGTTAGTACTTATGTAAAATATAAATATTCCTTTTTTTAATAGGCATTTGATCTAACAGAGCAAAGATATGTAGCTGTGAAAATTCACCAGTTAAATAAAAACTGGAGAGATGAGAAAAAGGAGAATTACCACAAGTAAGTGATGCTGAAGTGCTTGATTTCTCCACCCATTGATGATAGCTGTGATTCGTGCATCATGGAAGAGATTTGGATGAATTGTTGTTGGTTTTCTTTCATCTTCCTAACTGTCCCAGCAAAGGAAATATACTCTGCATCTTACCAATGAGAAAACTGTTAGAAAACCGAGACCATTAGAAGCTAAATTTAAATGCAACCATACCTCAATCTGAAGCCCATATTTCTAACTCCCCTTCTATTGTCTCTAAAGACAGCTATATTAAGCAAGGAAGGCACCAGAAACCATTGTTGGTCTTTAGAAAGTCAGTGAGAATGCCCAGTGGTCTGGGAAGGAGACAGTGGGGTTAAAAGGATGGAGTCCTGCTGTGCCTCAGTGGTACATGCTTGACTTTAGCCCCTTAGTACACTGTTCTTTCTTTTCCTTGACTTGTCTGTTTGCCACCTCAAAATTCTCTGATTTGCCAGGCGGTGGGTGGTAGCAAACACCTTTAATCTCAGCACTTGGGAGACAAAGGCAAGTGGATCTCTGAGTTCGAGACCAGCCTGGTCTACAGAGTGAGTTCTAGGACTGGCTCAATAGCTACTGAGAAACCCTGTCTCAAAAAACAACAACAACAACAACAACAACAACAAAAAAACCCTCAAAAACAACAAAAAGCTTCTGTGATTTTCGTGCTCTACTTCCTATGGTTGCCTCTCTTGAGAACATCAGTAAAGTGGTAGTCCTCCTTTGTCCCTAGACTGAAGAGGATAAGGGGGCACTTTCCTCAGGTTACTACATATGCAGGTTATGTAGTAGCTCAGGTTACTACGTAGTTACTGCATATGCAGCTGTGAATTTCTTTGATCCACTAATGTTGGGTTTTGCCATCGTCCCTCCCAAGCTTCTGAACACTGGAGTTCATGGCTCATTTGCTTTGGAACTCCAGACTTAATTTACTTGTTAGATTCCCTACTGAGCAGTTTTGTCTCATTGTGGTAGATGTAAGTGTTGAATGAGACAGGTTCTGTCCCTGAAAGGAGGAGACAAGCCCCTTGGACAGTAACACATGGTTCCTGTTATGGAGACAACCTTTGTGTTTTGCTGTTTTTTTCTTCATAAGACTTTGGAGGACCAAAAAAAAAAAAAAAAAAAAAAAAGAATTGAAGAAGCCTTTTTCTTAACTTCTGAGTCTTAAAAGGAAAATCAAGTAGTCTCTCAACAAACAGTTCATGTCTGGGCTGGGGCAACTCTTGCTTTAGACCTGTTGTACACCGGGGCCTGCTAAGTCTTTCTGTTCCACACTGATTGGTAGAGCTCAATGCTACATGAGAGGGAGGACAAGGGGTGATGTGTATATGCCTTATGCACAGTACCCTACAAGCAGCTGCAGCCCAGATGTTCCTGAGGAGCCAGATACATTATTAAAAGTGCATTCCAGTCACTTGACATCAGGGATGAATGGCATGCGTTAGTGAATGCCATGAACACTTCAGAGAAGGAAACTACATGTTCTGGCCAGTTATTAATGAAAATTGTCCTCGCTGTATTGAGACTTGTAGGAGTGGTTAAGGGTGCTGAACCAGAACATGCACCTTTACAGGTGTCCTATAGGTGTCCTTGGAGCCTGTTCTCTAGCTTACCTGTACATTGGCCTCTGTAAAATAGTTGGTTCTAGGGACCAAGTTTGATCAACCTTGAGAACATAATTTCTGTGCTGGGACCTGTACATATTTTGCCAAGTTGTAGACTCCCGATCTAGCTTTTAGGCTGACCCTGACTTTGGAAGGTCATTCAGCTCATCTGGCCATTTGAAATGGATCAAATCTGGGTCCTGGTCCCGTCTTGGCATACTTAAGCAGTTTGAGCCCTGGTTGTTATTGATTGAGATGTTCTGTTTCAGTTTGACTTTTACTTCTTTGAGACAGGGTCTCATGACATAGACTAAGCTGCCCTCAAACAAATCAAGTGATTCTCCTGCCTCTGTCTCCTGTAAGTGTTAGGACTCCAAACATGTGCTACCAAGCCCAGCCAACTGATTTTCTTTTATCTCTCTGCTGGAACTAGATCAAGTGAGGGGCTGAGAGATGGCTCTGGTTCAGAGCACTTACTCTGCCAGAGATCCTGAGTTCAGTTTCCATCACCATATTGGGTGGCTTACAACCAACTGTAACTCCAGTTCCAGGGCATCTGACCTCTACAAATGCACATACACATGGAACCACCCCACCCCCATGCACAGACTATCGTTCATACATCTAAATAAAAATGAGTCAGGGAGAAGGAGATAGACTAATAAACTGACATTGCTTCCATGTCTAAACTTTGCTCTTCTAACCAGAGCTGGGTGTGGTCCCTTCTCACTGTTCTCAAGGGGAATAATGGTATCTGAGTGTCTGTGGAGCCCTCTGTCAGGGGCCATTTCCCAGTCAACATCCTGAGGAAGGATATAAGCCAGGCGGTGGTGGCGCACGCCTTTAATCCCAGCACTTGGGAGGCAGAGGCAGGCGGATCTCTGTGAGTTCGAGACCAGCCTGGTCTACAAGAGCTAGTTCCAGGACAGGCTCCAAAACCACAGAGAAACCCTGTCTCGAAAAACAAAACAAAACCAAAAAAAAAAAAAAAAGAAAGAATATAATTGTACACAATCACACTCAATTCCTTTCCTTCTTCTATAAGCAAAATATAAACTTGCTATATTATTCTTGCCATATGAACATGACAGATTACTTGATTTCTTTAGTTTGTGTAGGAGTGGGTGAGGTGGAGTTGGGATGGTGGTGGATGTGTGCACATTCGTATGGAAGCCAAGCAGTAGACATCAAGTGAGTGTCTTCTCAGTCATTGTCCATCTTAGGGCTTGTTTTTTTAATCCAAATATCTTAAAATTATGATTGTGAGGGTTTACATGAGCACATTTAACATGACATGATATGAAATGTTATAAAACAGGCCTTGGGAATCATTTCTCCCCAACCATGTAGACTCTAGAGACAGAACTCAAGATTACCAGATAGCAAGGGATTTTAGTGTTGAGCCATTTCACCACATTCATATTCTCTCTCTCTCTCTCTCTCTCTCTCTCTCTCTCTCTCTGTCTGGAGACAGTGTATCTCACTGTATCTGGAGTTTTTGGAGTACTGGCTTGCCTACCCTGCCAAGTTCTCCATGTCCCTATCCCTCAGCACTGATGCTCTTGTGTGCTGTGTCTGACTTTGTTTCATAGGTACTGGAGGGTCCCAACAAACACTTTACCCACTGAATCATTTCTTCTTCCCTGCTAGATTTCTTTATTTTCCCAAAACATAAAAATTTTACAATAGGAAAAGTTACATATAAAGCAATCTGTAAATATATATCTGAATTCATGTGCTCTTATTTAATACTCTTCAAAATTTCTAATATAAAAGCAAGCATTTCAGAAATCTAAATTTGCATCATATTTTAAGAAGACAAAAGATAGACTTTAGTTTATAAATTTCTCCTGATTTCTTGTTTAACAAGTCCTTGAATCTATTGGATGCTAAATAGAATATTGAGTATGAAGGATGCAAGTCAGTCTTGCCTTGCTGAAAGACAAGCAATAGCCTGTGAGCCTGGCAGACTGTTGGGGCTGTTGTTTTAGGTGCTTCTGGAGGTGGTGAGGACTCAGGGTTATTTGTTGGACAAAGGATCTCATTCTGTATCCTAGATGATCTTGAACTCATGCCATTCTTCCTGGCTCAGCCTCCTGTGTGCTGCTATGATGTGATTCACTGCCACACTTGGCTGAGATGATAAAGGCTGAATGACACTTTTCTTTCATTCTTAACTTTCTCTGCCATTCATTTCCTTGGTTTTCTGTACATTTATGAAGAA